TAATCAACTCCATGGTGGAATCTGCTGTAAGCAGCTAAGTAGCTGCCTTCAGGGTGTGGCCCACTTCCAGTTTTTAAGAAGTTTTGAGACAGGTCTGGAGCTTTGGGTACATCTGGATCCTGCATTTGGCCGAGTCTTCATCTCAGTGGCCTGCTATGGTCCCTGCCAATTTTGGGATTGTTACTGGACTTGAACCAGTGGCTTGCTGTATTGTCTGCTAATCTTGAGACTGTGCCATTTTACTTGTCAATCTTGGGTTTTTCAGTCTCAGCAGCCAGCAGTCATGTGAGGCAGATAAAGCCTCCAGCTCCAGTGGGCCTAGAATAGGAGGCAGAGCTGAAGCCCAAGGTCAAGTGGCTTTCACCTAGCTCCTACAGCCAACATTTTGAACTCAGACTACTAGCCTCCTAAACTGTAAAAGAATAAATCCCTGTTTGTTAAAGCTAGCCACTTGTGGTATGTCTGTTATAGCAGCACTAGAGAACCAAAACAAAAAAGCAATCAGATTAGAAAAGCAGTTAATCCATCTTAATTTACAGATGACATGATTGTCTTGAATTCCTTATGCCAAGAGTCTTTCCATACATCAGACCAGGGTTTCTTAACCCTAAATTCTTAACCCTAAATTTCAGCCAGATAATTCTTTTTTAGTGGGGAGAGTGGTTGTCTTGTATATTGCCAGTATTCTAAGCCTTTGCCCACTAGATAACAATAGCACTTCCCACTCCCCAGATGAGACAACCAAGAATATCTCCAGATACTGCCAAATATTTCCTGGGAATGAGAGGGAAACCCCCTTCCCCTTGGTCCCATTTCCACCCACATTGAGACCCACTTTCCTAGAGTCAAGATGAAAGGCAGACTCTAGGAGAAGATGGCTAAAAAGTAAAAAAAATAATAAAGGCCTCAAATACATTAATAGTAGTATACTTGAATTGGAAGGATGAGATAATAATCATTTGGATGACAGGGTGGAACAGAGAAGGAACTTGGATTTTGGTTTGCATAATTAGGCAGATGGTGGTATTACTAAACAGATCATCATAGTACATATTACAGAAAACATACAAAATATGTTTTCTTAGAAGTCTATCACAGTAACTGATTTTCTGATAACCCCTCAATATAAAAATAATTAGAAAAGTACAATTTCTTTAATTACACTCTGTTTTGATGCTGGCCTTGATAAACATGAACTAAAGTCATCTTCCTGATCCCCAACCTCCTGAGTCACCACTCACATTAAAATTTAGGGGATTGCTATAGTGGATTTGGTCTGTAAATATGAAAGGACAGCAGAGGGTCCAAGAGTGGCAAGGAAGGGCACTCAAGTTAAGCATACAGTTGTAAAAGAATCTATTCCATAGTTTCCTCAGAAACATACTTTTCTTCTATCTGGAAAAGTAGATAAAAGAAATAATATAGCCAACTTAGGAGCTCTGGTAGCGTAGTATCTAAGGCACTTGACTGCTAAGCAGAAGGCTGGAGGTTCAAACCCACCAGCCACTCCTCGGAAGGAAGATGGGGCAATCTACTTCAGTAGTGATACTGCCTCAGAAACCCAAGGAGGGGTCGCTATGAGTCAGGTCTGACTCGATGGCACATAACAACAACAACAACAACATAGCCAACTGAAATGTGCCACCCTACCTCGGGTTTGCAGCTGGTCTATGTTTATTTTTTTACTTACAAGGAACAATATTTATTAACATGCTGTTGTTGTTAGATACCATCAAGTCAGTTCTGACTCACAGTGACCCTATATACGAAAGAAAGAAACACTGCCTGGTCCTGCGCCATCCTCACAATCCTTGCTATGCTTGGACCCATAGTTGCAACCATTGTGTCAAACCATCCCATTGAAGGTCTTCCCCTATTTCACTCTCCCTCTACTTTACCAAGCATGATATCCTTATCTAGGAACTGGTCCTTTCTGATAACATTACCAAAGTACGAGAAACAATGTCTAGCCATTCTTGCTTGTAAGGAGCATTCTGGCTGTACTTCTTCTAAGCAGATTTGTTTGTTCTTCTGGCAGTCCATGGTATTATCAATATTCTTTGCTAACACCACAATTCAAAGGCATCAATTTTTTCTTTAGTCTTCCTTATTCATTGTCCAGCTTTCACATGCATATGAGGCAACTGAAAATACCATGGTTTGGGTCAGGCCCACCTTAGTCTTCAAAGTGACATCTTTGCTCTTTAACACTTTAAAGACATCTTTTGCAGTAGATTTGCCCAATGCAATACATCATTTGGTTTCTTAACTGCTACTTCCATGGGCTGATTCCATGCTACTGATTGTAGATCCAAGTAAAATGAAATCTTTGACAACTTCAATCTTTTCTCCATTTTTCATGCTGTTGCTTCTCGGTCAAGTTATAAGGATTTTTATTTTCTTTATGTTGAGGTGTAATCTATACTGAAGGCTACTGTCTTTGATCTTCATCAGTAAGTGCTTCAAGTCTTCACTTTCAGCAAGCAAAATTGTGTCATCTGCATATCGCAGGTTATCGAGTCTTCCTCAAATGATGATGCCACGTTCTTCCTCATATAGTCCAGCTTCTCAGATTATTTGCTCAGCATACAGACTAATTAAGTATGGTGAAAGCACACTACCCTGATACACACTTTTCCTGGTTTTAAACCATGCAGTATTCCCTTGTTCTATTCAAACAACAGCGTCCTAGTCTATGTACATGTTCCTTATGAGCACAATTAAGTGTTCTGTAATTCCCATTCTTTACAATATCATCCATAATTTGTCATGATCCACAAGGATGAATGCTTCTGCACAATCAATAAAACACAGGTGAACACTTCTCTGGTATTCTTTGCTTTCACCCAAGATCCATCTGACAGCCCTTGTTCCATGTCCTCTTCTGAAACTGGCTTGAATTTCTGGCAGTTCCCTGTTGATGTACTGTTGCAACAGTTTTTGAATTATCTTCAGCAAAATTTTGCTTGTGTGTCATATTAATGACATTGTCAATAATTTCTGCATTCTGTTGGATCATCATTCTTTGCAATGGGCAAAAATATGGATTTCTTCCAGTTGATTGGCTAAGTAGTGGTCTTCCAAATTTCTTGGCATAGACAAGTGAGTGCTTCCAGCACAGCATCCATTTGTTGAAACATCTTAATGGTTATTCTGTTAATTCCTGGAGCCTTGTTTTTCATCAATTCCTTCAGTGCAGCTTGGACATCTTCCTTCAATAACATCAGTTCTTGATTATATGATACCTCCTGAATTGATTGAACATCAACCAAATCTTTTTGGTACAGTGACTCTGTGTATTCTTTCCATCTTCTTTTGATGCTTCCTGCATCATTCAATATTTTGCCTATAGATCCTTCAATAATGCATCTCAAGGCTTGACATTTTTTTTAGTTCTTTCAGCTTGCAAAATGCTGAGCATGTTCTTCCCTTTTGATTTTCTAACTCCAGGTCTATGTTCATTATAATACTTTGTCTTCTTGAGCCACCTCTTCAGCTCTTTTATCTCATCATTTCTTCCATTCATTTTAGCTACTCTCTGATGAAGAGCAAGTTTCAGAGTCTTTTCTGACATCCATTTTGGTTTTTCCTTTCTTTCCTGTGCTTTCAATGGCCTTTTGGTTTCTTCATGATGATGTCCTTTATTGTCATCCCACAACTTGTCTAGTCTTTGATCATTGGTATTCAGTGTGTCAAATCTATTCTTCACATGGTCTCAATTCATGTGAGGTATAATCTAGTTCCTATTTTGGCTCTCATGGACTGGTTTTTAATTTTCTTCAACTTCAACTTCAACTGGCATGTGAGCAATTCATAGTCTGTTCCACAGCTGGCCCCTAGCCTTGTTCTGACTGATGATATTTACCTTCTCTATTGTCTCTTTCCATAGATGTAGTCATCTGATTTCTGTGTATTTGACCTGGCAAGGTCCATGTGCATAGTCATTGTTTGTGTTGTTCATTGAGGTATTTGCAATGAATAAACTGTTGGTCATGCAAAAATCTATTATGCAATCTCTTGTCTCACCAAAGTCACCTTTTCCACTACTGATACGTTTTGTTTGTTTCCAGCTTTCACATTTCAATTACCGGTAATTATTAATACATCTTGATTACATGTTTGGTCAATTCAGATTGCAGAAGCTGGTAAAACTCTTCAATTTCTTCATCCTTGGATTTCATGGTTGGTACACAAATTTGAGTAACAGTCATATTAATTGGTCTTCCTTGTAGGTATATGGATATTATCCTATCACTAACAGCATTATACTATCAGGATAGATCTTGAAAGGTTCTTTTTGATAATGAATGTGACACCATTCCTCTTTAATTTGTCACTCCTAACATAGTAGGCCATATGATTGTCTGATTCTTAATGGTCAATACCAGTACATTTCAGCTCACTAATGCCTAGGATATGGATTTTTATGCATTCCATTTCATTTCTGACAAATTCAAATTTTTCTAGACACATAACCTGTACATTTCATATTCCAATTAGTAATGGATGTTTGTGGCTGCTTCTTCTCATTTTGAGTTGTGCTACATCAGCAAATGGAGGTCCCAAAAGTTTTACTTCATCCACATCATTAAGATCAACTCTACTTTGAGAAGGCAGCTCTTCCTCAGTCAAACTTTCAGTGCCTTACAACCTGAGGGGCTCATCTTTCATCACTGTGTGGAGACATTGTTTCCCTACTATTCATAAGGTTTTCAGTGGCCAGTTTTTTTCAGAAGTGAACCTGGCCACATCCTTTTTCCTAGTCTGTCTTAGTCCAGAAGCTCCACTGAAACCTGTCCACCATGGGTGACCCTGTTCGTATTTGAAATACCAGTGGCATAGCTTCCAGTATCACGATAACACACAAGCCACCACAGTTAGCTGACAGATGAGTGATGGATTCATTAACAAGTTAACGATTTTTTGTTTTATATCTCAATATACTTCAATTCTTGGAAGTTCTTATATGCAATAGCAAATAATGGATTGAAATAATTTACCTTGGGATGAAAAGCAAAACACATTCCAGGAGCCTGTCGAGATATGAAGGCTTCACCTTTCTTTTCCTTTTCCCCTCCTTTTTTGTTGCTGCTAGAAGTAGTTCGTCTCAATCGAATCAAATCTTTATTTAAAGAAAAAAACATGTATATATATTATGTACCACATAAAGAAGTACTACAAACACCATGTGTGTCCTTTGTGTATAATTTTATTATGATTTCTACCAATTTTTCACGTGATTAAGTTAAAGTTGGCAAATAAGAAATAAATAGATACTTCAAGAAGAATGACTAAACCCAGTTGTTTTATTACCCAAACTAAAAATTGTCACTTTTCACAAATAGTTCATTAGAAATTTTAGTTTCACACCTAACAACAGAAACATAAGTTATTATTATTATTTACCATGACAATCCAGTCCTTTTCGTATAACCCATTTGGAGATTCTTCCATCTGCTGATATGGAAACTAATATTTCTCTTTTGTCATCACCCGTTGTTCCTCGATCTTGTTCTATCCACTGTAGTTGCCATATAGGTCCCAAATGTTTTTGAGGAGATTCACTAAAGCAGGGAAAGTTACTAAATATAGAATCATTATAATATTTTTCTAAAGGCCTTAGAATATAAGTAATAATGGCAGCTCCCTCTTTATTGATAAAAAGATTTTTTTTTTTCATGGCTTAAATCAGTCAATCATTTAAATCTTATTCAAGTAAATAATTATTCTATTCTAATTCTCATGTTTTAAGATTTCCCACTGGCTTGATTTTCTATAATAGTTGAGATTTAAAATTATTCTGAAAAATTAAAATCACTTCCCAGATTATTGCCTAGTTTTCTATCAGATTAATTGGGTGTTTTGTTCCTAGTACCAGCTTACTCTCATTCTTTTAATTTTTTTTCTTTATGGAACCCTCCAATGCAGTAGTTATGAATCATTTTAAGGTCATAGATATGTTTGAGTATTTTGGCAAAAGTTTTGAACGCTCTTTCCAGAAACAAGCACAAAATCCCACGCTTACAAAACTCTATGCAAATAAGTTCAAAGTTAAGATTAAGAATACTTGATTTAATGCCTACTTCCAATTTTACTTATGTTTATTCAAACACTGATATAAATATACCACCTCATTTTAGTCCCACTGGTATTTTGTCTATTCCAAAAATCTGAACTACTCAAGATCTTTCACCTCTAACATTTTGGTTTCTTCAATATAACTTATTCATTCATTTGTTTATTCATTGTTCATTAATCAAGCATTTACTGTACTCCTATTACATGTCCAATATTGCATGACACTGAGGATACAAAGACAAACAAGACTCAATTCTGGCTCTCAAGGAGCTTTTAGCCTCCTCAGAAAGATAAATATGTATACAAATCACCTTTACACAGTGTGATAAGTTCTATGATAAAGACAGGTGTAGGATGCACAAAAAATGGGGAGGAATGGGAAAGTTTCCCTATGGAGGTGATGCCTAAACAGTAATTTAAGAAGAAGCATTAAGCCTGTGAAAGTTTGTTGGTGAAGTGCACAGAGAAGAAGATGAAGGACACATTAGTACAGAGCATTCCAGCAGAAAACAACATAAATAATTAAATATTTAAAATAACAGCATAAACACTCAAAATTAATATTAAAGTAAATTTCCACTTCTTTCTAAAAAAGCATGTATTATATGCTTATCTTATTTTGGATTCTCACCTACTATCCAGAACTGGAACTGTATTGTTGCTCTGTACATTATAAATTGCAATTGAACCATTGTAATAGCCAACTGCTAAAAGATTAGGTGATCCAATTGAAAAATCCACAGCAGTAACTCCATGTATACTGTGATAAATACGTTCTGGCCACTGGGGGGGGAAGAAATTATATTTTAAACTTCTTTTATAGGTCACAGTAAGTGAGTTGATTATCAATCCATCTGTAATGGGAATACAGTGAAGAATTTAATATGACTTGATTTATGCTTTTTAAAAAATATCACTCTGGCTGCTGTGTGGAGAGTGGAGTACAAAATCCAAAAACCCACTGTGATTGAGTGGATTCTGACTCATAGCAACCCATAGAACAGAGTAGAACTGCCCTCAGGATTTCCAAGGCTGTAAATCTTTACAGAAGGAGACTGCCTCATCTTTCTCCTGGGAGCAGCTGGTGGGTTTAAACCACGGAGCTTTTTGTGTGCAGTCGAATGCTTTCACCACTGAGCCACCACAGCTCCTTAGATGGAGCATAGTGGGCAAAAATTGAGGCAGAATGATACATTATCTGTTACAATAGTCTAGGTAGGATATGATGGTGGCAGAGATGAGTTTGGTGGCAGTCGGAATATAAAAAAGGCTAGTCTATGTTCAGCTACTTCTGTCTAATTTCCAGTAGATGAGAACAATACCTCAATTTCCTCTACTTTCAGAACCCAACAATTTTAAGAAACATACTTCTACAATAATTACCACATTTTGGTATGATCTTCACAGATCTGTATTCCTATAAAACACATAATGGGCTCCAAACAAATCATCTAGTAGATGATTCTGCTAGTAGATGATTCATCTAGTAGATGGTATCTGTTTCAGATGTTTGCATTATGTAATCATTTCTAAACAATGGATAGAAGAAACTCAAAAACTCGCTAAGATACTCTGTTCTACAACTCTGTCAAGAGTATGTGCATGTGCGTATGTTTCCTTTTAATTTGTAATAAAAATCCTTTCTTGTTTCTAAGCACTAAGTGGGACAAGGAGACAGGCTACTAATGATGCATCCAATGTCAATACTTCCACATGTCTAAAATTGTTACTTCCTTTCCTTCATGCTATACAAATGCAAATTCCTAACAGAGTGGAGCTATTTATGAAAACTTTAATAATATTTGTATGCTCTTCTGGCTCTTCTCTGTTTTCTTTTTTTTTATTAGGATTAGGGTGAAGATTTACAGAGTAAATTCACTTTTCATACAGCAGTTCACATATACTTTGTCTCATGTCATTGACCAAAATTTACAATGCAGCAGCT